CAAGTCTGGTGAGAATGCTGGCCAGTCTGTACGGGTGATATCCTCCGATTGAAGGCATTCGCTTACGATATTTGCACGGTGAGGACTGGCGTTGTCATCCATAAACACAAATTGTGTGCCCATGGCACCCCGAAACAAATGTACATGTTGTTCCAGAATGACGTCCCGATAGATATGGCTTGTCATGATTCCAATTTGAACATGAAGGTCAGTTCTGGAACCCAGAATAATTCCACCCCAAACGAGCACTCCTACACCACCGTAACGGTGTCGTTCAATGATGCTTTCTTGGTGGTAACGAATACCTGGAGCTCTCCATATGAAAGTCCGGCGAGAATCAGACTGCAAGCTAAACCTGGACTCGTCGGAAAACATCACACAAGCCCACTGTTGCGGTGTCCACAGTGCATGCTCTCTACTCCAGGCTAACCGCAGGCGACAGTGAGTTGCAGTAAGTGGAACGCATCTGACAGGTCTACGAACATATAAACCAATCTGCCCTAAGCGTCTGTACACGGTCTGCCTTGAAATTGTCGTACCAGTGGCTGAAGAGAGCTGACGAGGCAGGTCTCAGGCTGTGCTCCACCTGTTTGTTTTGGCAGTAACTGCCAAATACCGGTCCTTATTCGGCGCTGTAACTCTGGGGCGACCTGTGCTGTAACGTCTACTCACATTACCATCATCTTGGAATCGTTGCCAAAGCCTGGAGATGATACTCTGGGCAGTTCCAAGTTCGTCTGATGCTTCCAGTTGGGTACGCCCCCATTCCAGACGGCCGATAATTCTATAACGTAAAAAATCATCCAAATGCGTCCTTTGTGTCATATCTATTGTTATTGCACTGAAATGCTTATAAAGCGCCTGCGAACAATTTTACTTCTTTGCCTGTATTCCTTATATATCACTCTCTTACACTCTCGTCATTGTGACGTACCATCGGTGTCATCTGGTTACTTCCTGAAATTTGCATATGATAAAGTAAATAAAGGATAATTAAACCTTCTTAAGTTTTAGATTTTAGGTAGCAGTTCACTAGGTTCCTCGACACTTAATTCGATAGAATAAAAGTGAGGAACTCTATAGATGAAAGTGCTATATTTCACGAAACAGATGGCAAAGGGGCATGATTCAGATATCTTTGCATTCGGGTTTCGTGTGGGTGTTTTGTTTTTGATTTTATGAATAAGTAAGTATCCTTCTTGTGCAATTGTGCTTTAAACACAGTTTAATTGCTCATTCAATAACTTACCTTAATTTAAACGAATTATGAAAATTCTCTAAGTTTTCAGAGCAAATTTACCAAGTGAAACAAAATTTTAGAATAAATAATTACAACCTTGGTTCTTTCTTTTATTTATTAAACATTTCTTCGAAGCCTAAATAAAAATACATATGTTTATATATAAATAACATAAACTTGGTTATTTCTTACTTACTTGATGGTATTTCGATTCTCATAAAATTTGTAGCCTTAGAGAGAATTTTTTAGAACTTGTAATTACTATAAGTCATACAGAAGTTTACTATAGTTACTCATGGGTCAATCGGGCTTTTCTACTTCCTTGTACGAAGTAAAAAGGAAGTATTGTAATCGCGAAAAGTTTCAGGTTCATTTCAACGAAAATATCCATTTTGACCGCTATCGAATGCAATTCAATGATGTTTTTGCGTGACATCTGTACATAAGGACAGGAAAAAGGACTCTCAAAAAATTATAAAACTAATTTTAAATGAATTCTGAAGAGAAATTTCCATGGCGTCTGTGTGTACGTACGTATGTATCTCGCATAACTCAAAAACGAATAGCCTCAGAACGTTGAAATTTTGTATATAGGACTGCTATAACATGTAGATGTGCACCTCCCTTTTTAGTTGCAATCGGATACACCAAACGAATATAAATATACGTATATATATCCACTCTGTTACTCGGCTCAGTGATCTCAGTTTCTTTATTCTTATATGTTGATAAATTGTTCATTTTTTGCTTTAAAAATGATTGAATTATATTGTTCTTATCTTCCAGTTAAAGTTTTTATGCATTTAGTTATCCTACATGTTATAGTTGTAGAATTATCAACAATTTAAAAGTTGATTAAGTGAGGCTGAGCCTAATTTTGTTTACCATACAGCAGCCATATTTGTTTACATTCAAAACTTAGCAGAATAGTGGATTTGCTGCTAATCTAGAGAAACTAAGCTTCGCAACAACAAAGTAACGTCTTCTTTTATTATTGCGAATTAAATCATGCTTAATCCATTCTGGAATTAACATTTAAGTTATTAAATTATCCCATACATTGACTCAGCGTAGCGTCGACAAGAAATTAAACCAGTTTCTACACCTTCAGTGTATTTTGCCGAGTAAAACCAAAAGTAAACTTTCAGTTTCGTGCACCGAAAAATCTGTCTTCTTGCCCGTTGGCCGAATTGCTTGTTTTTGCGTAGAAACTGTAATTTTATCCTTAATAATTGCTTTCTTAAAATTTTTTAATGTTTAAATGAATTCTGTTCGGTCGATCTCTGTTTTTTGGTGTTTTATGTTTTTCTATGTCTATATTTTTAATGAAGATATTTTGTGTGTTTTATTATTTTTGCCTTGCCACAAAGTGAGAACTGAATTAATTGAATTAGAAATACATCTCTAAAGAAATTCGAGGAAATAAGTGTTTCATATTAGCGGAAAATACTGTCGCCAGTCCGTTTCGGACAGAGGAGAATGTTTATGAGTAGCCCACGCGCATTAGATAAGCAGCGCTGAATTCTCTGTGAAAAACTGCTTATTCTTTATTTGTTTAATTTCTTTTATACATCTTTTTACATTTATTAAAGTATTTGAATAGAACATGTGGCAATGATTAGATAATTCTTCAGATTTTTTTTTCATTCTGAGTTGTAAAATGAATGAGATGTAACTCTGTTAAATGCACCCAGCGCCAGAGTATCGCTATGATAAATAAATATAGTGAATTTTAAAAAGCGCATTTATTTCTGTTAAGGTTTAAGCGCTATCGACGAAGTAGATTTAATTCAATTCAATAAGTTTAAACGAAATGCAGAAAAAAAGTCGTATAATTTAATGTTCCATACAAGGAAGTCATGTGGTGTACACATCAGATTTTTTTATTAATATTCAACTGCTTAAAATATCTGTTTATATGTAAATCCATTCCCAAACAAAGCAATTATTCTCAGTGCAAAAATTCGTAACTGAGGGTAATCGTGCTTGGCCAAAGATAGTAACAAAATCTGTATCTTCAAAAGTTGAATAATGTGCATATCACATAGTAAATTGGTTAGCTGCATTTATAGATTTCTGGTTTTATTCATGTTTATTTTTAATGGAATTGAAAATAATATAAACTCGGATTTAAATAACAAAAATCTTGAAATATTTGCAATACCGTGCTTCTAACAAATAAATAATTTAAATATCTTCGCAGACCGCATAAAATTGCTTCATTGGCCGGCGTCCACCAGTCTGAGACCACTGGTCTAAGACATCAAAAATTCTGAAGTTGGTCTTGGATGGACCATTATCTCATTAACTATAATAGTCTTCTTCGAACTTTCAAGTCTTTTCCCTAGCGCTATAAGAAATAAGTTGCCAAATTTCAGTTTTTATTGCTGACGCAAAATTCGAAGCTGTACCTGAAGTTGCAGAACCTTATGGTATGGTGTAAGTCATCATACACAATACATTAAGCCGATTTGGAATTAAATTCCAAGTGCGAAACCACCGTGACAGTGCTATCCGTTTTTGCTCGTCATGCCAGTCGCCTTGTTTACATGAAATAATGTGTTTGCATTTCTTACGCGTTCGTGGATCTGGAGTGTTTAACCATAACACTTGATGAAGAATGAATACATAATTTATTAGACATTATTACACAGTACAGCTCCAAAAATACGTTTACAGTCGTCGAAAAACTACGACAAACAAGATGAAACAATCAGCAACACAGTCTTCAGGCTATAACGGTGAAGACAGCTTCACGGCAAAGTACTGGAACACAGCTCCTGACTCGTTTCGGTCGATCTCGGAGCTCAACACACTGAAGATAAAGCTCGATAGCCTCAACGACGCACATTCTCGATGCACAACGAGACATTCGATAGACTACGAGACACTCTCAATAGACTTAGACTTAGACTCTATAATTGACCGAGCTATTACGAAGAGCAATGTTGCCGACTCTCGATCGACTGGGTTTATATAGCTTTTGGCTTGCGTTCGAGAACTTTCTGAGCCGAACCGGTAAGAATTCGTTCCAGAAAGTACTCCATCAGTCCATGGCATGTCACCATTTTTGTCTCCAAATGACTCCAAATGGGCGACTTCGTGCCAAATATGCCTTCCCTTTCCATTTTATGGTAACCCTAAATCCGCCTTGCAGTGAAGCTATCTTACCGCAGCTGGACATATAGTAACAATATAGATCGGCGGCCAGATCAGCTTGCTATAGCAGATGAAATTCTCTTGTAAATCAGTATAGAGAAATGAATTTCCCGATGTTTTAATCTCGTTCCTCGAAAGATGCATTACTATACTATGTTTGTCGATAATTTAATATCATGGCTACAAGTTCATGTCTCTTCCCATGTGGCTGCTGATAGACTAACCAACTGCACTGCATATTATAAGACCAAACTATTCGAGATCCACTGCGAATGCAATGAGTCAAATTCTCTTCTCATCAGTTATCTTGTAATTACAAAAAACTGTCTTGTTTTTTCTAATTTACGCTCATGTTATCAAAATTTGAGATTTAGTTTATACCACATATTACCAAACTATGTGATGGAAACAATTGGTTTTAAAACTTTCTACATGGTTGTAACTTTTTATTATTCCTTCTTATTTCTGGACAGGACCCAATCATTGCAATTCTCTAATACAGCTGCAAAAGCTACAGTCAAAAGGCAATTGAATGTCTGCTACAAATACTAGAAAAATTTATAATTATTTTTAAAAATCTCTTAACTTTGCACCTTTTATGCTATTTCCTTTTACTTCCTGGCGGTACCCAGCCACCGAAAGCTTTTTCTAGTTCTGCTGCAAAAGCAATAGTCAGTGAATCATTGCTTTTTCGTCCGATAATTTGAATTCCAATTGGAAGCCCTTGGCTATTAAGTCCTAATGGGCACTGAGTAGCTGGAAGTCCTAGAACATTAAAAATACTAGTATAACACACATTCGGTATGTAAACGTGACTTTCATTATGATGAAAAGCAGTCACAGGGAACGTCGGGAAAAGAAATACAGATTTTTCATCTAATAAGCTGTCGAACTCTTCACTCAGCTGTTTCGCTAGATTTTCATAGTGTGGTACCTTACTTTCATTGTACCACAAAAAACATTTAGCAAAGTTCATGCATGCTAGAGGTCCAAGTGTCAAATCGGACATACCAATAAGCCATTTGAAAAGTTCTTTGAAACTGTTGATATCTCCATTACTTGATGTGAGAACTTCTGTAATGTTACCTGCAGCAGATAAAACGCAGTGAAGAGCTATCGAGTTACTTTGCTTGAGCAGTGGAATATGTGTTTCTTTGCTGTTTACCTGGTAGGTAGTTTGAAAATAAGAAACAACCTGAAAAGAAGATGCATTTTATTATTTGTCTTTGAAAAATAGCATAAATAGAAATTTTTAATGAAATTTGTTTTTGTCTTTGTAAGGTGTATTATAATTTTATAACAATTATTTTTAATTTTGAAACCTTTTCAACTCAACGATTTTAAAACGAGCAATAGCAACACTCTACGGGAAATAAAAACCTTTTTATCTCCAGCGCGCGGAAGTGTGTATCGTATATTCTAAAGATATGCTTATTAGTCCAAATTGATATGCTTATTAAAAAAAAAAAATCTGAAATGTTTCAGATTTTATTACGTCCAAAGTGGCGTTTTTTTTTAACGTTTTAAGTGTTACCTTTATTTTATTAGATATCATGTTCTTGCACTTAAACCATAAATTCAGTTCAAGAGCAATATCGCAAAATAATGTTAAATTAAGCATATCTTTAGAATTTCCGATATACACAGTCTCGCGAGCTGGAGATAAAAGTATTTTTTTTATATATAACGTTGCCATTTCTCGCTTTTAAAGCATTGGGTTTGTAAATCAAAAATTCGTTAAAGTTTTACAAAATATAAAATCTATAATAAAACAAATTCCAAATTTGGGATTTCAGATGCCCATATTCGCAGTAGGATTTCGTCATTCAAAATTCGATGGCTCTATGTACCATTGTTTTATCAGAATGCGAAAGACAATCATTTATGCAGATTTTTCATTATTAATTTCTTCAAATATAATGCAGGACTCTAACATTTGTGGCAACAGTTTGAAAAGAACCGACGTTATGAGTCCGACGCAAAATCGAAAACGAAAACAATAGCCTTCAGGAACAACAAAGCCCTTTGGACTAAAAAAAAAAAAAAAAAAAAAAAAAAAAAAAAAAAAAAAAAAAAAAAAGCTGCTCCGCTTTGAATGCGTTTCCGCCGAAAAACTTCGCAATTTAAAAACATCTTCGTAGAAAATATCATGGTAAAAAATAAAGTACCTACAAATCATCGCATGACGATAACATCGCACACATGCGTTTTCAGCTTTTAAAAGCTGTAAATACGTATTCGCGTAATGATTTGGGAGCGCAAGAAGGAAAGAGGAATTCGTTTACTTCTTTATTTCATATTTTTGAATGAACTAGTAAATTTTTGCTGAAAACATAAGAAGGAAACTTAGGCATTTAAAAATTGAAAATGAGTAGAAAATTAATGCAACTTATAAAACTTAAAAGAATTTTAAATTTACATAATTAATTAACAAATGTCATTAATAAATTACCCTTTTTTTATAAAGTTTTATTGATAACGTTTTACAAAAAATGCAGTCTAAAAGTGTTTGGAAAAAGGAAGATAAATAACCGCATGAGGTTACCTCTATAAAAAATGCTTAGTTAATTTTCAAATTATTTTTCCCATTTTTAATCAGATATTGTTTTAGTGAAAATTATATTTTGTTTTGTTTTCGTTCGTTCTTAAAGTGTCGTTAACATTTTCATGTATAGCGTGCAATGTATTTTTTTTATATCGCTTTGTTAGTTATGATGACAGTTACATAATATGTCAGGACGGGATTTAAAAAACACACGAGTGCGATGTTATCGTCCTGCGATGATTTGTAGGTACTTTATTTTTTATCACGATATTTTTGATGACGGTGTTTTTAAACTGCGAAGATTTTGAACCGCTTTATTTTCGACAACGAAATTTTGTACCACGATGTTTTAGAACTGCAATGTTTTCTCTCTGCTTTTTTTCTATCACGATATTTTGTACCACGACGTTTTCGCCTTGCATTGGTTTCGTCCGCGATGTTTTCGGCTGTAACGCTTCAAACGATCGCCGTCCTTGTAAAAAATCCATTCACTTCACTTTCTAGCAAACTCTGTTGCCCCCCTCTCCAGTAGAAAATGATGTGGACTTAGCAAGGAGCCGTTAAAGTGGTATTCCAACGTTGGCAAAATTCTCCTCTTTATTTTTTCACAATGAGTCCTTTAAAAAAGTCAACAAGCGTCGAAGGCTTAGCAATTCACTAAGCCCTCTTTTAAACCAGGACTTAAGACTCCCTTGCTTCAGCGGTCCCAGATGGTAAACACATTCCTGTTCCTAGTCTCGCAATTAATCCCTTCTTCAACGGTCTCATTAATGGTACCGAAATTCCTTTTTCCAGCCTCGCCAGGTTATCAAAATGGGAGGGCTACTAAACTACCAAGCCGAGCATACGAAAATAGGTAAGGGAATAGTTTCGAACATTTTGAAGTTCAGATACAGCTTTCTAGTATAATTCCCCTCCCCCCCCTAAGACCCAATTCTTCAATTGCATAAAATGTTTATCACAAGTTGTTGAAATATCAGAGGCCAAAGACTCGGAACGTTAAAGGAAAAGATGGGGAAAAGGGAAAAAATTAAATTAGCAGAATAAATAATTGAAAACACCATTAAATGCAAACCGAAGAATCCAAATTAAAAATTAAATAAACCCTGAGGGTCGTAAACCCTCTAACCAAAACTAATCATATAACAGTTAAATTATTACAACTCAAATCAATAAAATTCTTATCACTTAAAAATCAATCTCGAGAACATTCAAGAATTTTAAATTAATATAAATAATATCACTTTAATTAAAAAGAAAACTAGTTACACAACAGAAACCCATTCAAATATTTCCCTCTCTCTCTTTTTCTTTTTATATAAAAAATAAAGTATATGAAAGGAACTCAAATTGCTGAATCATATATGCAGCAAGTGCATGTGTAGCACTAACGGACGTATGTTTAAACATGCCATAAAAAGCAGAACATCCTTCGCAATATAATTCTTAATGTCCTCTTATAATGCCTTCATTGTCAACTTTTAAAATGACATAATCTGTTAATATGTAATAAAGTATCAGAAGAAATAAATTACGAATTAGACCTCTATATAATTAACATTTAACTTAAAAATCCTCAGAGCACCTTTTTATATCACCAAAAAAAGAAGGGAATAAAGGAAGAAAGAGAAAAAAAAAGCGAAGGCGATTTCTCATCAAATTTGGTGAAAACCTTTAGTCGCCCAAACAATCGCCAGATTAGCGATCGTCTCGCCAATTTGTCAATATAGTCATTTATCTCAATGCTAAATAGACTTATCCCTATAATCTTATTCTTCCGGCACAACTTCACTCTCTTACAGCTTTTCATGTTACATTATAGAAAATTTGTAACATTACGTTATGTAGTTATGCGTATCTGCAAATAATATCACATGAAAAAAAAAGAAAGAAAATGAATCATAGTTCAAGTTCGGATAAAGGTATATGTGGCCAGCGCGATGAAATATTAAGAAATTAGTAAAGGCTGAATATATAATATTTACTTCCTTGATAGCTTGCTGAAAATCTTCGGAAACAGGCGTTGCAAAGTTGGCATCAAGCGACAGCATGTAAAATATTTTAATATCTCTGAAGTTCACCTGAAATGTATTTTGGAAATTTAATATTTATCAATTATTTTTAACTTATTAAATTAATCATTGCAAAGGTATTCGCTGACAAATGAAATTGTAAAACTAAATTTAATAAAATCAAAATTCCAATTAAAATTCAATCAAAATTCCTGACTTCTCATAACTAACTCATCACTAAATTTGCGAATGCACACCTGGGTGAGTCAGAAAATTAAAATCAACGAATAAGTTCTGAAATTATGAAACCCTTTAACTTTGTTAATTTAAGATTTTGTTGTGTATGCACTGAAAATAAGGAATAACTTTCATAAGTTAGTAAATTTGATTTTATTTAAGTAAATGAATAAAATTATAACTTCATGATTTCATTTTTTATTGAACACAAGTGACTACTCTCTGTAATGGTCCATTTATATTTGTTAAGAAATGGAGCTATTTTTTGATATACTTAAAGATACTTTGAAACGGAGTTCGTATGGGAAGTAGCTTGCCTTTGATGAAGAAAAACCGATTTACATTTTCTTTCCGATTGCATTTGAAATCAAAACGAAACAAAAAGGTTTAATTCCTTAATTTATATCGTTTTAATACGACTTGCTCTGTTAATATAAAGATAAGTTAAATAGCGTATATTAATTGTACCAATACTGTTTTAAATAACTATACATTAATTAATCTGTCATAAGATATATTATATATTGTATTGTGCGAAGTAAGTGTATCAGGTTCAGTGTTTCTCCTTACTTGCTTTGGGAATATTCACGAACCTGACTCGGAACAGGGAGTTACTAAATATGTTCAAAAATGTGGGAAGTAGACAAGATACACGGAAGGTATACAAAACCCTTTATTTTTCACTCTTTACAATAATTTCCGTACTTCGGAACAAAGACCCACTACTTGTGGTCTAAACGTAAGAATATAAAAAATATTAACTACTAACTTAACTTTGGAATAATAAATAAACGTGGAAGATTGGCCTTATATTAACAGGAAGCCGTATGTAGTACAGAGAACTGTTAACACTACAATACGTTTTAAAATTATCAAGATACTTGCTGAGCACAGCATATACTCTAGTAGCGCCTCTTTCTCTCTCTCTCGCGGAAAGCCAATATCGGCTTCGCAAAAATTGCAAAAATTAGCTAATTTGCGAATAAATAAGAGTGATAGTTATAAAAACTTAGTAAAACTTAGGATCCTTACATACTATCCGCCAGAGTTAATTAGTTTGAAACTGAGGTCTAAAACGACCTTGTTGAAAACTTTTAGCTCTAGAATCTAACGCGAGGCCAATCTTTTACAAACATTTCTCTCTAGAAACTAGATATTAAAAAGTCGTTTTTACATTATCATCTCTATGGACAAGTATTTTCATCTGTACTGCATCTATAAACAGGAGTTTCTTAGTTGAAATCTGGTTCCTTATGGAAGGAAAACTAGTTTAATGAAATGTTACACAATCAAATGGCAAGTAACATGAATATTTATATTTCTCCTTTAAAATTCTTATTTCATTCATGACGTTATTTAATTATCTCCCCGTGCTCTCTGACTTGTGTTGTAAAGAAAAACACCAAACACGAGCGTGTCTATGTACAAGTGTTCAACACTACCGCCTGCAATCAAAACACTAACGTCTTAAAATTCAACATAACAAAACCTCAGAACACACCTTATATTCATCTCTAAACCCTGAGGTACTATTCTGAAAAGTGGCTAACTCTGAAGTGTAGCGTCAGAGAGCCTAACTACATTCATTCAACCTTTATCACATATTCACAATAATTTGCTCTTTTTACAGTCACACGAATAAGTTAAAATTTTTGGCATTACTCTTTTTACTTTTAACATATCACAATATTTCTTAACTTTTAAGATAACAGTTCACATTGTATATAAGGACATATTAACATGCCGTTAATTTTACGCATTTTAAAACATACATTAGTAGTACATTGTTAACTTCTATTCTTTTCCAAGCAAGTGCCAATTCTTCTGCATTGAAATTCTACATTTCAAAAGTCTTTCAGATTAAAACTTCTTTCTTGCCAGAATCTTTTAAATAAAAATTTTATACAATTTTCTTAAGGTACCTTTCTCAAAGATTATCAATGCTTTTTCAATATTCAAGTATTTACACATTCCTATTATACATTAATTTTAGTTTTACTCGCGAGTAACTGTAAAAAACAATACCAAAATAGGTAACAACTCCTTTCTCGCCTTTTTGGCGATAAAGGTAGGCCTCACATGAGGTAAAAATTCTTGAATTCTGCCACTTGCAGTAAGATTGAAAAATTAACTTACGGTTTCAAAGTAACATAAAGTTTTACTTATCTTTGTGATATTCAGACATCCTTTTTTCTGCCCAGTCCTGGAAGGTAGCGAAGACTACGGTCTGGTTGTTGATCTTCCTTCTTGTGCGGGTTCGCCCTTCGGTTCCTTCCTCCATGAGCTTTCTTTTTCTTCCAGTTCGGTCACCCTTGAAGACCTTTTTTTAGCATCTGCCTGTGGTCACGGCCGTTTGATGGCAGCTGGTCTTGGCGGAACCGGGACAACTGTCTCTCTCGTTGTTGCCTGGATCTCGTTGCTGGCTGTTCAAATTTTTCTTGCGTCTTTGCATCTGCAGCTGGTCTTCCTTCATCAATTCGTCGACATTTGCTGCGTAGACTCCTATCCGATGGGTAGATCTTCTGTTTTGGAGCCGTGTTATAGTTGCTGTCATTTCTCCTGGCTTTCTTTGCATTAGTCGTACTTCTCCCTTCTTCATTCTGGGGGTGGTCGTGCTCGGTGGAACGACTTCTTTTTCTTGTTACCTTCAGTTTTCCAACGGGGGAACTTTCTTTTCAATTGCTCCTGTCTACTAATGGCTTGCCCTTGGGATTGTCGTTGTTCCACCTCTGGAGCTTGTGCCTGCCGTGCCGGATCCTGCAAAAGATCTTGAAATATTGGCATTTTATTACGATTATAAAATGGTTTTATCTGGTCTACGTTTGCGGTGCAGGTTTCACCATTCCTGGCTTTTAACACCACTAAGCCTGAGTTACTTTTTCTATGACATATGGTCCTTCAAATCGTGGATAAAATTTGGCAGTTTTATCTTCTGGTGCTGAAGAAAGTGAATGCTTAATTTTTAACACTTCATCTCCTACTTTATAAGTTACTCCCCGTCGTTTCATATCATAATAAAGCTTCTGTTTTCTCTGTGCTACTTCAGTGTTCTTTTTTGCTTCTTTAATTTATTTTTCTATATTGCCCATTTTAAATTCTGGGGCTCTTTGTTGAACATAAAATAATTTATCTAACGGCGTTATAATCTTTCTGCCTAAAAATAACTCAGCAGGAGTTTTGCCCGTCGTATCATGTTTTGCGGTCCTAAGGGCGAAACCTAATTCATTGACATAGTTAACCCAGCTTTTATGAAAATTTTTAACATAACTACGGACAATTTTCATTATATTTCTATTGACCCGTTCCGCTATATTTGATTGCGGCCGATACGGGACCATTTTTAAATGACGTATGCCCAGTTTTTGGCACATGTCTTCAAATATATTACTTACAAATTGAGGACCATTATCCGATATTACTTTTAGGGGCGCCCCGTATTTTAAAATATATTTATTTAAAATAGAATCAGTAACTAATTTCGCGGAGGCTCGTTTTAAGGGAACAATTTCGATCCACTTACTAAAATGATCAACCATAACAAGGAGATAGCCGACTTTTATTTAACTGACTTTTTGGGAAAGGGCCCAATAAATCGATGCCAATTATTTCATTTGGAAATTCCGATTTAATACTATTTAGAAACCCGGCCGGGCGGAAATTAATATAATTAACTGCTTGACATGTTGGGCAGGACTGGACATACGCCCTTGTTAACTTTTGCAGCTCAGGAAAATAAACTGCTTCGCGTACGCGTTGGATGGTTTTTCGAATACCAGCATGAGAAGCTAAAGGGAGTCGTGTAACTCCTGCAGTATATTTAATCTAAGACTAGCTGGGATAACAGGTCGAAATTCGTTGTTGGAATTCGTAGTTTTTGTATAAAATAATAGACCATCTATTAGTTCGTAATGGGCCGCCCTATTTCTTATCGCCACAATATCTTGGTGGCTAAAATTTTCAGGATCCTTTAAATAATCATAAATATTTTTAAATTCAGGATCCTTACTCAGTTCGGTTATCACAGTTTCTCGGGAATGTAACTTACATGCTGTGAGCATTGCCACCTTTACAGTATTACCTTCTTCATCTATTTTTATTCTGGATAGGGCATCTGCTACGATATTTTCCTTTCCGGGGCGTGTGCTTAATTACCAGATTATACTCTTGTAACTTTAGTGCCCATCTTATTAACCTTGGGGATAAGTTTTTCCCTGAGTACAATCTAGTTCCCGCCGCATGATCAGAATACACTGTTATTGGATCCTTTCCAAAATAGACTCGGAACTTTTGCACTGCTAACAGAACTGCAAGTGCCTCTCTCTCAGTCGCGGAATAATTTCTTTGTGTTTGATTTAAAGTTCTACTAAAAAATGCCACGGGCTGCTGATTTTGCGAAAGTACCGCTCCTAGCGCATAATCCGAAGCATCCACTGAAATTTCTAAATTCTCATCGTTTTCAGGAAATTTCAAAACAGGGGCTTGCTTGCGTTAATGCTTGCTTTAATTTTTCGAAAGCACTATTGGCTTCGGCCGTCCACGAGAATCTTGCCTTTTTCCTTTTTAATTTTAACAATGGTTCAATAGCTGCAAATTTATAAAGGACCTATAATATGAACAAAGTCCTAGAAAAGAAGAGAGCTTCTTCGCCGAGTCGGATACTTTTGTACAGCGATTATTTTTGATTCGTCTGTCTCATTCCTTTCTGAGATATTTTGTAACCTAAATATTTTAATTCAGGGGCTGCAAATTTGCACTTTTCGACATTAACTTTTAGACCGGCCTCATTTAATAAAGAAAACACCTGTCTTAAATCCTGTACATGTTGGTCGAGATTATCACTAGTAATAATGATATCCTCTAAATAGATAAATGTGGACTTTCCAAGAACAGGCCTTAACACAATGTCCATACATCGCTGAAATGTTGCCGGTGCCCCTGAAAGGCCAAACGGCATACGCAGAAATGCATAAGTGCCAGACTTGGTTATAAAAGCAGTCTTAGGCACGTCCTCAGGCCTAACCCCTATTTGAAAATAACCAGTCGTTAAGTCTAAAGTCGTCATATATTTGGTGGATGTTATGTTCCTTAGAATTTCTTCAATAATAGGTAACGGATATACCGGATATTTAGTTATGGAGTTTAATTTACGGTAGTCAATTGCGAATCTCCACCTTTTTGGATGTGTCAATGGATAGTCATTTTTTCTTACATAAAACCACCGGGCTAGCATAACTACTTGAGATGGGCGTTATGATCTTTTTACGTAGCATATCGGTGATATGCCATTCTATAATTTTTTCCTTATTCTTATCATACCGGTATGCTTTGTGGCGAACTGGCATTGAATCTCCGGTGTCAATACTATGGTTAGTAACCTTGAGTAAATCCTGGAATATCACTAAATAACGAAGCAAATTCACTTACCACTTGTCGGATTCTTCGTTGCTCTTCATTAGGCAGGTGGTCAAGGTTTAACATCGGCGGTTCAGCCTTTTTCTTCACGAACTGGTTTCATTGTCAGCTTAAGGGACGCTTCATTAAAATCTAGCGTTGCTTGTGCCTCTGAAAGAAAATCTATTCCTAAGATAATATGTGCTTGCAGATTCTTTACTATGAAAAACATAACCTTTACTTGTTCGTCCTTGATACGGACATACAGCGGTAATTTACCTATACACTTACATCTTTCTCCTTGCGCAGCTAACACTGTCGTATTATCCGAATTATATATGCGATATTTACGAAAATACTTCCTAAAAAAATCTTCTGCCACACAGGAACACTGCGCGCCTGTATCCAGGAGTGCGGTGGCTGGGATATTATTTCACCAACACTTCAATCTTCGGAAGAGTCAAATTTTTCACCATTACTGTATTTAACTTGAAGGAAGAGGGGTTTTCGTGGCCTTCGGATTTCCGCACCCTCCCGTCAGCAGCAGAAATCCGTTTTAGTTTAAATTTTTTTTTTTCTTTCCGTGCTTTCCTTCTTTTTCCACTGGCCTTGAGACTTTTTTCCTGGATTGCTATTGAACTGTCGACGTTCGCCGGCTGTTTTTGAATGCTCGGGTTTCCTTGCCCACTGATTCGCTTTGCTTCCGTAGCCGTGTGCTTGAGTTTGCTGTAGTCTTGATTGGCGTCTTCTTTCAATGTCCGCCGTTCTTCTACTTTCAAACTGGATTGCTAGCTCAAATAACTTTTCCAGTGTAGTCGGATTTCCTTAATTCAATAAAGTCTTGCACTTGGGGCAGTAACCTCGGCAAAATCACTTGAATTATCTCAGGATCCGGACGGTTTCCATACAAGATTTTGAAGACGTGAATTTTTCTTAAAATAAAGCTTGAGAGATTTTCGATTCTTTGCTGATATATGCTGAAAAGTTCCGTTTCTAATTTCGCACGATCCCTTACGACAGGGAAGGCTTTTACTAGGGCAGTCTTGAAATTCTCGTAAGTATAGGTGGGACTTCCTGCTTGACCCAAGAGACTTCTGCCTATACATTTGAACCAATTAAGCGCTTGGCCCCTCAAAGCGCTGGTAGCTAAGGTAACTTTTTGAAATTCGTGCACGGGGTAGAGCATGAAGTGGTCATCCAATTTTTTTCAAAAAACTGGTTACCGGTGAGTTTCCATTAAATGTTGCTTCTGGTTTCATCGAAGCGCGCATGGTCTGGACGATGTAACCAAATCTTTCCAGGGCGGCAGCTGGCATTTCTGGATTCTGAGCCGCTTCTGCAGGCAGCACAGGTTCTTCTTGAAACTCGGCCATGGTTATTCTTCTTCGTTGGGCGCCACTATCAGGTTCAATGTTCCGTCTTACTTTCTTCGGGAATATGCAAGGACCTGACTCGGAACAGAGAGCTTACTAAAGCTATGTTCAATAACTGTGGGAAGTAGACAGGATACACAAGAAAGGTATACAAAACCCTTTATTTTTCTCTCTTTACAATAATTTCCGTACTTCGGAATACAAAGACCCACTACTTGTGGTCTAAACGTAAGAATATAAAAATATTTAACTAAACTCTAACTTAACTTTGGAATAATAAACAAGGGCCTACGTGGAAGATTGGCCTTATATTAACAGGAAGCCGTATGTAGTACAGAGAACTGTTAACACTACAATACGTTTTTTTAAAATTATCACGAGGATTAAACCTCTGGCCTGGAAGGCAACCAGCAACTGAGTAAAACTTCTAAGGTAAGCGGCCTGCTTCGACTAACTCCTTCCTCTCTCTCTCGCTTGGCAAAAAGCCACATCTTAAGTACTTGGCGTTCGCCACACAAATTTTGCATAAATAAGTTAACGCTTTTAATTCTGGCCGGAAGTAGAAAATAAGAAGTGATAGTAAAGATTTAAAATAAAATAAACGTTAGTAAAACTTAAGATCCTTACAAATGAACTTATTCAGATTATTAGATTTTCTATTACATTTTATAACCAAATGCATGTTTTTGCCTTAATAAATTTTTCTTCAAACTCTGAAAAGTCAATATTGTTATTATAGCAGCTTTATATGAAAGGGTCGCACCGAGGAAAGAGAAGTGTTTCATCGAAGGATTTTTTTTAATGTAAAATATTATGTTATGCTTGAATTTTAATTTAAAAACATTTCCTACATAAATAACCGAGCATGCTTTACGTTTACATATCAAAGTGTTTCAAGTAAAATGTAATTAAAACTCATAAAAAGTGGAGAAGAAATTTCTGAAAAAACATATTGCCTGAAATACTTTGATTCGAGATTCAGTTACTAAACTCTTAAGCTTTGATTTTTTTCGCATTACTTTCGTTTACAATATAGTTTGGCCATATATTGTAAAAACAGTTTCTCATTCATTGGAACTATATATAATCTAAAATAACTTCTAATAGATTGTCTGCTACCCAAATTGCTGATCTGTCAACAATAATACTGAAAAAGAGAATGAATTATAAATAATGAGAATAAAGCTATTGCTCTTCTAATTAAACTATAATTTAATAAAAATTTGTCTTTTTATAATAATTTGTTTAACCTTATGTGAATTATATCTAAAATAATCCATTTATTAAACTTTATACTTAAAGATATTTTTCTTAATTGTAAAGTTTTCCTCAGCAACCATCACATATTTGATCATATATTTTAAACAAGTATGTATAACATACTCTTTTTCTCATTCCGAGATACGAAATTCAACTTAAATGTATGAGATGTAACTTTAAAAAAGGAAGTAACTTACAGCTTGTCCAAATTTCCTATGTGTCTTTTGGCCATAAGAAAGCACAGACATGCTTGTAACAAGATCTTCAGCATATCTGCACAATGGTCCGGTACAGAGCATTTGTGAAAGCTTCGGGTTGAACAATGGAAAACTTTCTTCTTGAAACGCCATATCTGAAAATACGTAATACACATGTATGGCAAAAGAGTTTCCGTTATTTTCTTAACATTTCTACTGATTATTAAAAATTAATATGTTGCTAAGCATTTCAAAACAAAATTCTCCTATTGTAAACTGTAAGTACATACTGTTCTACTAAATTAGCATAATATATTGCACAGATAATGCATATGTGAGCTATATCTGAATTAAAAAATGGAAAGTAAAAAAATGGGGGGGGGGTAATTTTTAGAACATTTTTCTATGTCTTAGCTGTTGCTGTTGTTGTTTTGTCCGTGTATTTTATTCTTCATTCCTATCACCAAACCACATTTTCTATCCTCTCGGACACAAAGTCCTCTCGAACTTTCGGCGCCTCCTCCGGGATTCGAACCCAGGCCTGTAAATGGCTAACTCTTCCTAATAATTTTATGAAAGCTTAATCAAATATAACGTCAAGATAGCCGGACAATATTCAAGGTAGGTAGTTAGAAGACAATATCGAAGAAGTGTTACTGAAATGAGTTTTGGTAATAATACAGGAATATAATTCCTTCCTCGCAAAACACATTTATTATCGCCTTAACTTAAATTAATACAAAAATTACATGCTTTAATCATCCATATTGAATGTTACAAAGATCTATGAATGGAATCTCAAAACAAAAATCATTTCAGAACAAAATATAAGACATAAAATTTATTAGGATCTGTCATCAAATCTTTAGTCAGCTTGATCAAATACCCAATGAAAAATGCAAGACTTGGGTTTTAGATATATGCTTCAGCTTTGTGTTTGATCAATACACATTCAAAAACGGACAACCAAAATAAAAAGAATTTTAAAAATACATATGCTGTAATAAATGGGAATATTTTAACATCTTGAAATCACTATTTAAAATGAAAGATAAAGAATTACAACTGATAATGAATCTATCTTACTTCTTGAAGGTTTATGTCCAAAGAGACCTGTGAAAAGACACGGTATTCTAATGCTTCCCATCAAATCATTCCCCAAGCCAAGGACTGAACCTCCTGCACTAAGTAAGGCACTTTCTCCACCTTTAGAATTATAATTGAAAGCAAATAAAAGAAAAGTTTTAAGATACTAAGAGATATTACCTAATGTTTCGATTACCACTTACCACTATTACCACCACTGGTTCTGCTGATGTCGTAAGGATTATTGGTCCTTCCATAAATTTTATTGCTGGTCTCCAGACTGATAGACATCTCAGGAGCATTTGTTGTGACTAGAACAATGGCACCAGCATTTCTCAAAGCAGCCACAGCAGGAGCATCCTCTGATGCTCTTACATCCTTAAATAACAAAGATGATCCAGTACTTCTCAGCCCTGAGGATAAAATTTATATATTAGAATTTTTGAACAGCTTGCCTGCCTATAATTCAACAACAGTCGTTCTTTGTCAGGCATTTTCTCTAGTAATGCATTTTTAAATAGCGCACTGATCCTGAGCGTTTTAAATGATGCTAAGTAGATAAAGATAAAAATACAAAGAAAATTCTAACGGGAACTATCTTTCGAAGAAAATTATCTATAATAATGGCAATATTTCTCGAAGCTAAATATTGAACTATCACCCATCCCCGGGGACTACCTCAACAGAAGATCAAATCATCTGAACCATGGTGTTAGGAGGTTTTATGTTAAACGTCGGTCACGGTAGTCCTTAAACCCATGTTCATTCAATTTAATTGTTTTGGATAAACATATTAAGGTTACTGAATTATGACTGGATTCAATACAATTAATCAATAAAAGTAAACCAATTTTACTTCCTTGTTATAGAAGTTGCTTTCTACTTTAACCTTCTTTAGAAGTTAGCAGATCCTAAATAAGAGTGTTTTATTAAAATATTGTTATGAAAAACCCAGCTGCGATGAGATAGTTTCTCCGCAAAGCGGGGATAGGGTTTGCACAAAGTGGCGGGAAGATGTAATGTTTCCACATTTGATGCGAAATCGCTCATTTGAAGATATGCTGTAGACAGAGCGAGCACATTTGGAACTGTCCTGCGCAATACTGGCGAATAAATTATATTCTGATGCCTCATTAAGTGTTGCCATCATTTGTTTCAAATCCACGAATACGTAGAAAGCAATAGTATGAATGAAAGCTAATTAAATCTATGGCTTTAAATCTTTGAATAAGATTTATATTACCTAGTAAATTTATTTTCTCAATTTATAGATTTCATTTTGCGCTATTCACATTCGTTTTAAATCGTAATGAAAATAATGTAAGCTCTGACGACAAATAATTAAATGCTTGAAATATTTGCAAGAAGTATATAATGGAAATGTATTCGCTGGCCACAAACGATTCCTTCGGGAGACCATTGCTCTTATCTACTGAAATAAAGTAATTATTTCACCTTTTAAGCTATTCCACCTCGAGTTTCACAGCAACAGATACTATAGGAGAGCTTAGAACTCAAATGCAGAATAACATCTTTAGGATCCGTACTTTCATCTGAAATCTTACTTTAGATCCTAAAATGTATTCAATTGTTTCCACTGTAACTTTTTTCATATGCTTTCTTAAATTTAAAACTGAGAATGACATCGTTAATTTGTGGAAAAGGTACAAAATTATTTACTGAACTACGCTTTTGCAACGGGCGTCATCGCGCAGCAGTTACGAAGTTCACCTGCGAACCTCTGCATTATATGTCTGAACTTTATGAATTTCGGAAGTTTCGTAATTGTAAATTTATAATTCCTAATATTTCTGAATTTTGCAGCTAATCAGAACGAAACTTTCATCTTTTGTATAATTTTTGGATTTCTAGAAAATCGTAAATTTTTAAAATGCTCACTCCTTCAAAGTGAACTTCTTTCAAGTAAGCCATAACTGAAAGCAGTGCATTGTTCACTGAATATGAAAAGACATCAGATCCATCAACAAAGAATTTTACATCTTAAATTTGATAGAACCGTGTCTTAGTACTCTTGCGAAATAGTGTCTATTTTTTCAGTGCTTACCAGGTTTTTATTCGATCGTATATTCTATGCTAATTGTTAAATTGTAAATACAGAATTATAACATAAGCAAATAATCCCAAAATTTTTGGAGTCTACCATTGTTCCTATAAAAACGCTACAGTCTTCCAACTGCTTCCTATAAAAAAACTAGCTTATTTACATATTCGATATAATGTGCTTTTTGAGGAAAATAACACGGAAATAGAAACTAGAAAATTCGAGCCGAAATCCTGGAACTCCAGAATAGAATAAAATAAGTCTTGAGAATTAACCATATAGACCGAAGGAATCCACTAAAAGATTTCTTGATCATGGGGTTTTTTTAAGTAAATTTTAAGTTTGGGAAAAGTTGATCGACTTTAAGGAGGAAAGTGATATGTATATGAAGGGGATCCAAAAAAAAAAATGGTTACAAGCATCAACATTAGAAAAGTAGTTATCGTGGGGGAATACTTTTTCTCCAGAGTAGAAACAGATGGCACTAGCAGCGGTTGGGCTAGTAGGTAGAGTAAGTTTTCAGACGCTTCAGAGCAATTGAAATGGCAAGACGTTTAGAAACATGGTCTCGCTTGAAGGTGCGAGCAGTGATTCGTTATCCTGATCGAGTACCTGAAATGTGGCCACACCGTTACTATTGATTGTTAGTGCCACTTTGAGAAGGTTACGTGAAGTCATCCGACTCAAGCGCCCAGTCATGTTGAGTGATGGTGTTATCCTTCTGCATGATGTCCGGTTCCGTACTGCTGTCCAAACTCATGAAATGCTGAAAACATGTGGAAGTGGGAAATCTAGAATAACCTCTCAATATAGCCCAGATTTAGTATCCAGTGAGTGATGTAAAACCAGTAACTGAGTACTGCTCAATGGACAGAGTGATTTCTATCAAGTCGGGTTAAACAAATTGGTCCTGCGTTCAGATAAATGACTGAATAGCTAATTAAATGTAAAGTGATAGGCAAGTATTAAGTGGTAAAATGATAGGCAAGTATGCCTCTAAATTCTCATTTGTAATTTCTGTCTATTGTTAATAAATAATTTTTTATTACCCTTGTAACCTTTTTTTGGTTCCACCCTCGTATATGTCTGCAAAATCTGCACATGCTTTATATTTACCAAAGTTTAATATTTTCTTTCATCCTACCATAAACGTTCTCTAATGAATAGAGATAATTAAAGGAAAAGGATCATCTAATTTAATCGTCCAGATATTAAGATGATCCTGGATTGTAAGTTAGAGCGACAAGGTGCTGCAGTTACTTTGTCGATAAGGTTATTTACTTTGTGAGTAATTTTAATTCATCGTACTTTACTCACCTTTCACCTTAATGATAACTTTGACACTTAATGGAACTCCCAGAAGAGGATATGTTTCAGCAAGCTGTTCTTTAGTGAGTTTCCCAGATGCGACCAAGACATCCGCATCTTTGGCTTCGTTCAGAGCATCGGCATATCTCCTTTCGACAATGGCATTGATGAAAGGTTCCACTTCTGATATCCTCTGAATATAGGCCCGAATGACATCTTCACTTTTTAACTACGAAAAACATTTTCGGTATTAATTCATTACCTCAGAATCTATTCAGTCTCACGTTGGAATAATTTCTTTTTTTTAAACCTCAATTGTAATTTGAAAAATCTTATTAAACGTATGTTAATGATATTTATTTGCTTAGTAGTGTCAAGTATCAAACTTAACTGTTATTTAATTGAGTTGTATGGCATATTGAACTTATTAATGCAGATTTATTTAATAAGGAATGATAATCAGAGGTTACCTGTTCTGATAATCAGTCAGAAGAAAATATTTATTTAATTTTCATTCCCAGCATATAAACATTCCGTACCACGTCACGCGCATAGGGGAAAGTCCGTCCTCGGGATTCGCTATGGTTTCCGATGACATTTTCTCAACGCTTAACGCTTAGGAAAGCCTTTACTTCGCTTGGGCTCAACAGTACATATCCATAACGTCTGTTTACATTTTGATAGTAGTACCGAAAAAAATTAATATTCTATTGTTAATGGCGTGTGTTGTATTTTTGTTACCCCCCGGGGGAAAGCGATTAGAATACGATTAGAAATGCGATTAGAAATGCGATTAGAAATGCGATTGAAATGCGATTTCATGATTATTAGTGCTTAAAAAGCGCATTTTACGAGTACTGATTCTCTGTTCTTGATTTCTAGTGCTTTCCCAGGGCTCGGGTACCTTGGCGTGGTCGGGGGGCTCCCTCTTTATAGAGGGTCGAAATCCTGAGCCTTTCGAGCCTACTACTTCTGACTGACTTGGTGTGAACCCTAGGGTACCAAGTCGGTCTTACCCTGGCATTTGAATAATATTTTCTTGACTTATCTGGTGATTAATCATAATGGACTCAAAAGACATTCTTAAAGAAGGCCAGGCCTATGTGGCCAACCTTGAAACTATTCTTAAGAATAAGGCAAGTGGACTAAATAGAAATGTGGCCGCTGACATTAGACATCAGTTTCAACTGATGTTTAACTTATTGACAGAACAATGTGTCGAAATGGCCCAACTAGAAGGCCAACTTCAAGCCTCTGTCAATAATAATCAAGCAAAAGACTCATACGCCGAAATCTTAAAACGCCCAAAACGAGATCGTTCAAGGTCCAGAAAAAGACCAGACAAACAATTTATTACCATCCTCTACCCTAAAACGGATGGGGACAAACCAGACTCGATAAAGAAAAAAGTACTGAAGTCAATTCGATCCCTCCAAACTCCATATCGGAGTCAAACGAGTCAAACAAGTCTCGAAAGGAGGACTTCTTATAGAAACGAACAAGGAAACCGATCTTGAGATTTTGGAAAAAGAAATTAGTTCGGTACCAGAACTAAAAGAGGAACTCCAAATAGTCAGGCCACTAAAACGGTCTCCAAGAATAATTATCTATGATATCCCAAAGGATATCACAAAAGAAGAGTTACTCATATCATTAAAGGCTCAAAATGAAGAACTTGTTGGGGAAGGTTTAACGGTTAAATTCCCCATTAAACAAAAGAACAAAAACCACTGGGTGTGCAAGGTCACCCCAGAAATTTTCAAGCAACTCCAAAAAATTAAAAAGGTATGCATTAATTGGGAACGATTTAGCATTAAAGAATATTTAAGACCTACACAATGCTTCAAGTGCTGCCAATTCAGGCATATCTCAAAGCAATGTCAGACGGAAGAAGCGTGTGGTCACTGTGGCGAGGTGGGCCACTCTCACAAAGAGTGCGATAGTTCAACTCTCAAATGTATTAATTGTGCGGAACGAAATGCCAACAACGAGCAACAATACGACGAAGGACATTCAAGTTTTGATAAAAACTGCCCTTGTCGCATTTTAGAATTAGATGAACTTAAGAAACGCATAAATTATGGATAATACTCCTCAAAAGAAGTATTTAAGAGCACTACAAATCAACTTAGCACGCTCTCACGTTGCTACCGCACAACTTAAAGTGCATATTTTTGATTATGACTTGGTCTTCGTGCAGGAACCTTACTGTATTGACAACAAACCGGTTGGTTTTCCCTTACAAACTTAATAATCAAAATCGCTATAAAAAAACTATAAAACTAAAGTCATCTATACAAATGATGGACTTCCAAAAACGGCCACTGTGGTCGTAAATCCTAACCTTACGGTTCTCAACATGCTGACCACTCCAACTTTGAACATCGTAAAACTGAACTTTGAACAAAGATCTCTAACGATCTTTAATTGCTATAGCCCACCAATCACGGACCTTACAGACTTAACTTCTCTCCTCGACTTAGTCGAGAGAAACTTATCAAGTAATAAAGATAATATTATTTTGAGTGATCTAAATGCTAAAAGTGAATTATGGGGTTCTCCATTCGAAGACCCCAGAGGCAGAATGGTCAGAGAATTTCTGATTTCTAGACAATTTATTATTGAAAATGATCCTCAAGGTCCCCCAACTTATAATTGTTCTAGAGGAAAAAGCTGGATAGATTTAACAGCATCCCAAGGAAATATAATTCATGATTGGCAAGTTTTGGACGTTCCTTCGCTTAGCGATCATTGCTACGTAACTTTTGAAATCTCCTATGATAAAAGCTCAAATCAGGCAATAAGAAGGAAGTATAAATTGAATAAGATGGACTGGCTCACACTTAAAGAACAACTTGGTAGTTACTTTTCAGTTATCAATCCTCAATATGTGATAGATACAGTCGACCTAAACGCCTTAATAATTACCTGGACTCAAAAAATCCAATTTATCTGCGACCAAGCAATTAAAGCAAAGGGAAAATTCCTCAATGTTTAACAGAAAGGAGTCCCTTGGTGGACTCAATCGCTTAATATTATGCGGAAAAGAATCTTAGCAGAAAGAAAACGCTATCAGCGTTGTATTCAAGATGATAACCTAAGAGCATATTATAAGACTGTATACAAAAAAGACTTAGCCAAATACAAGCGAGAGATTCTTCGCTCCAAAAGAACATGCTGGAAAAATCACTTAGAAAGCATAGATCCAAAATCTCCATTTGGCATACATTATGATTTGGCAAAGGGAAATATCTCCCTTCCTTTTCAAATTAAAGCGCTTCTTAAACCAGACAATTCAAAGACTGAGACCATTGATGAGACTCTTAAATTGTTGCTGGCGCACCACTTCCCAGCTGATGACCAGAGCACAGATTCAATTGGACATAGACAGATAAGAAATCAAATTAAGACTCGATATGGCGCTAAGCGAGATCTTCCGTTCACCAAACAGGAAGTTGAATTCACGATTAAATCACTCAATTCAGGCAAAGCTCCTGGATTGGACAACATTCCTAAAGAAATAATCTTAGAAGCATTCCACGCCAACCCAATAGTACATACGGTACTATTTAATGAACTTCTTAGAAGAGGTACTTTTCCTGATTGCTGGAAAACCGCTAAACTTGTTCTATTTTCCAAAGAAGGCAAAAATTTGGAACTTCCAGAAGCATACAGACCAATATGTCTACTAAACACATGGAGCAAAGTTTATGACAAGTTAATTACTAATAGGCTAAACTATTACCTATTTTCAAACAACAAACTCAGTAATAAACAGTACGGCTTTACGGCTGGAGTCTGCTCTACGGATGCCATAAAAGACATAATTGACACAGTTGAAAACAATCGGAAAAATAACTGTTACACGAATATTATATCTCTTGATATTAAAAGCGCTTTCAATAATATTTGGTGGCCTTTTCTTCTACAAGAATTGAGAAATCTTATGTGTCCTATCAACCTTTATAAGGTAATTGAATCAATGTTAGAAAATAGAAGAATTATCTATGAAGTAAACAACACTTCTCTTTCTCATTCTCAAGAAAAAGGCTGTGTCCAAGGTTCAAACTCTGGGCCACTTTTTTGGAATATTTTCATGAACACTGCACTCCAAATAGACTATGGCGAGGGAGTACAAATACAAGCCTATGCAGACGATGTACTATTTATAGTATCAGGAGCCACCCACCAACAAATTTATACCAGAGCTAATAACGCCCTATCACTGATAACTGAATGGGCGACAAACTGCAAACTTAATTTCTCCCCGGAGAAATCTAGTTCAATGTTTATCGCGGTTAAAAAGAGGGGTGCAGCATACTCAGCCCCAACCATAAAGTTGAACGGCACCACCATTAAAAGGCGCAAACAAATTAACTACTTGGGCATAATCATAGATGAATGCCTAACTTGGCTTCCCCACTTAGACTATATAAAAACAAAAGTATGTAAAATCATTAACAGACTTATGAAATTTCCCGGCCTCTCTAAAGCAGTTATGAAAGAACTTTACAAACGAGCTATAGAAAGAACGGCAGTCTACGCCTGCGCAGCATGGTGGTTTCCGCCAACTGTTAAAATGAGAACTAAAGCGAATACTATACAAAGAGTTGCCCTCTTAGCTATGACAAAATGTTATAAAACTGTTCCGACTTCTGCTCTACAGATTTTAGCCGGTTTGATCCCACTAGATATTAAACTGGATCAAGAAAGTGCTATTCAAAGAACCAAAAGAGGCTGGTCAGACTTTACATTTGAAAATCTACATTTTTCAAAAGAAACCTTAGACTTTCCCAAGAATAAATGGTCAATCCATCCTGCATCAATAATGACATATGAATGGGATGATCACTTACCAATAAATAGAAATTATGAACTTTTTACGGACGGCTCCAAATCTGAAGAAGGCACAGGAGCGGGTTTTTGTGTCTATTGGAATGGCGCATTGACAGCGGAATTTGCCTTTCAACTAAACCCTAACTGCTCAGTATTTCAAGCCGAAACTCAAGCGTTGAAATCAGCCCTCAATTGGCTAATAATAAATAAGCATATAGCCCATATTTATACTGATAGTCAAGCTGTCTTGAAATCTTTGAAAAAATTTGATTCCCTAAACCAAGAAATACTGGAAGTTAAAAAGCTCGTCTTCCAAACTAAAGCTAAATTACATTGGATAAGAGGTCATCAAGGCTACAGAGGTAATGAAAAAGCGGATGAACTCGCCAAAAAAGGTATCACTTCTGAAGCGCACATAGAATGTAAACTTCCTCTGAGCTTCATCGTAAGGCAAGCAAAAGAAAAAGCTCTCACTCTGTGGCAACTTCGATGGCAAGAAGAAGATACGGGCAGATCAACATTCAAGATCCTTCCTAGAATCTCCGAAAAGAGACACTTTAACGACTTTTTTCTGAATCAACTGCTTTCAAATCATGGAGCCTTCCCATGCTACTTCAACAGATTTAAATTAAAAATGCCACCTAGCCGCTGTACATGTGGACAAGTAGAAGCGGATGCCTTACATATGATTCTTCAATGCCCAAGTCTGGACAGAAAACGAAAAGAACTTTTCCCTCAATCTTTGAATCTCGACCTTTTATG